GGGTTTAGGGTTTAGGGTTTAGGGTTTAGGGTTTAGGGTTTAGGGTTTAGGGTTTAGGGTTTAGGGTTACGGGTTTAGGGGTTAGGGGTTAGGGGTTAGGGGTTAGGGGTTAGGGGTTAGGGGTTAGGGGTTAGGGTAGCGGTTACGGGTTAGGGTTTAGGGGTTAGGGGTTAGGGTTTAGGGTGGCTTCCTGTATGCAAACTTGTAGATTTTGCCGCGGACTTGTTGAGATCGAAAAGTCTTTGTGCAAGTGATCATAGCAAACACAGTTGCTTTAAGGAGGTCGAGGAACAGTGGAGTAGTGTTTAGGTTTAGGATATACTGTTGCTTGTGCCGATGTTGCCTACTCCTACATATTCTGGACCTTATAGGCCATAAAAGCGTTATAGGCCTCTAAACCTTTGAAATCCCAAGCAAACAAAGACCAGGAGAAGGACCCATGGACTGTCTCTGCAAACACACAGAAGACTACTAATTCCCTAAAACCCCCCATATATTCTTCCTTGTAAGGGCAATGTAGGGAATCTTGTCGTTGATGTTTTGGATGGTTCTTAAAAAGCAATAATGCAAGTAGCAGTGAATAGGCTTTAGGATCTGGGCCCTCAAGCCCCAGCCCTACTGAACCCCAAGCTTGTACAGCCAATCACATCCAAGGCCCCATGTCCTTCCACACGCTAAACCTGAAACGCCCCGCATGCCCGAAACCCGCAATACCGGAACCTATGCAAATACCTTAAGGTACCCTTTTACTTCCAGGGACCTAATACGTGGGGATTAGGTCCCTGGAAGTAAAGGGATACCAATATCACCCCAGACAGTGTAACGAAAGATGCCAAGAGCATGCCTACCCTGAACCCCTAAACCTTATAAACCCTCAACCCTAAACCCTAAACCCTAAACCCTAAACCCTAAACCCCCAACATTTGTGAGCGTCCTGGGCCCGCAGCAGGAGCCGGAGTGCTGGTCTTAGAGGGTGACCAGGGTGCTGTTCGATATGAGGTATGACCTTTGGGTTTAGGGGTTAACCGTGAACCCGGACACCCTTAATAAACCTCTAAACTTTAAACCCTAAGCCCCAGCTTCAAGGTTCCCAGGGCAGTGGGTTCTGGTTTAGGGCTGAACCGCTTGCCACAATCAACCTGAAACCCCAACCCCCCGAAGCCCCATCGAACGACATCCGGTCGCTTCCCTGTCTGGGCACCTGTGATAATGCGAGCCCTTATATTTCGACCCCCCCCCCACCCAAAACTAAAGGAGGATCAGAGGAACCATCCGCCATCGCCCCATCAACCTCCATCCTAATCCCCAGAACCTTAAAGCCTGAACAGTAAACCCTAAGACCCTAAATCCTAAGCCCTAAACCCTAAACCCTAAACCCTAAGACCCTAAATACCCTATAAGCACCATCTCCGTCATCCTTAGGCCTGCCAGAAAGCAGAGCACCGCGCCGGAAGCCACATTCCCGAATCCCGAGGATCCAAGGCAGGGTTCAGGGTTTAGGGTTTAGGGTTTAGGGGTTAGGGGTTAGGGGTTAGGGGTTTCTGGTTTAGCGGCTGATGGGTTAGGGGTCTAGAGCCTATAACCCCTAAATCTTAAACCCCAAAGCCTACACCTAAGAAGGTTTTAAGGGTTGTCAGTGGGTTGGAGTCACGGCATTGCAATTCCCCTTGAGTTCAGGATGAACGTGCCAGCTCTTAATTGGGGATTCGGGATTTTTGGCTACAATGGCTACCCGCAATTCTTCAGAGAGGGTTATAGGGGGGCATGTTTGATGGCCCTTAGGACCTGAAGCTCCGATCTCTGCACCCTGACCCGACGGGCTCATATGGCTCTGGGGACTTTGGTGCAGCTCATAGCAGCTGAGCCTCGCTGCGGCCCGAAACACAAACACAAATCGGGTTTGCGTGCGTGCAAAGGCAACGCACATGCTGAGGAACTAGGATACTGCGAGAGCTATGGTTGCAAATGACAACTCACACAGTTCACTAAAGCCCTAAACCCTAAACCCTAAACCCTAAACCCTAAACCCTAAACCCTAAACCCTAAACCCTAAACCCAAACCCTAAACCCTAAACCCTAAACCCTAAACCCTAGACCCTAGACCCTAGACCCTAGACCCTAGACCCTAGACCCTAGACCCTAGACCCTAGACCCTAGACCGTAGACCCTAGACCCTAGACCCTAAACCCTAAACCCTAAACCCTAAACCCTAAACCCAGACCCTAAACCCTAAACCCTAAACCCTGGACACCGAAAACCCCATAACCCCAAAAACCCTTATCCAAAGCCTCAGGCTGGACCCGGGCTTTGGCGCTGTGACCCGGCCGCGGACGGTTCGCCCATATCCTCCCGCCGCCCCTGCGCCGCGCTGAGCATGGCGCAGGATTGGGTTTGGGGTTTAGGGTTTGGGGTTTGGGGTTGAGGGCTGAGGGTTTAGGGCTGAGGGTTCAGGATGTGTCTAGACACTCACTCCAACTACCCGTAGCGGGTGTTGCAGCACATAGGACCCTTATTTCATAGAGATATGACAGAGGACTGTCGGGTAAGGGCTTGATAGGGGCTTCGGGCTTAGGCGCAGGGTGCTTGTGCTCCACAGCGACAGCAAGCCCTGAACCCGAGAACCCAAAGACTCTTGACCCAAAGCTCCAAAGAGTCCCAGGTCTTGCACACCCGCCCCAAACCCCAAACCCCAAACCCCAAACCCGAAATCCCAAACCCCAAACCCCAAACCCCAAACCCTAAACCCCCAATCCGAAACCCTAAACCCAAAAACCAAGTCCCCCCTCCCCTCCCTAGGTCGGCAAGTAGCGTCTCAAGCTGTGACCCGCCGGAGATGAGGCTGCCCTGATTCGGACCTGAGGCTTTAACGTTTAAAGGGCTCTTGGTTTAGGGTTTAGGGTTTAGGGTTTAGGGTTTAGGGTTTAGGGATGTTGAGGGTTTAGGGTTGTAGGTTATAGGGTTTAGGGTGTGGGGTGTACTCTTATATTCTTGAGAATCTTCATTCATGGGGCCTAGAACGGGCTTGCATGAGGCTGCAAGGGACTTAAGGTAAGTTTGCGTACGGTTTTTCGGGTTTTGGGTTTCGGGCGGCTTACTATTTGTATGGGGGTTTGTTACATGCGCATCTGGGGTTCGAGGTTTCGGGATTTCGGCCCGGGCCGCGGCCCCAATAGGGGCTGTAGCGCTGTGGGGCGTTGGGGAACTCTCTGGGGGGAGTGGTGTTTGGCCGGCCCTTCAAAGGTCTTGCAAAGTCTTGGCAACCTAAAAGCTTTGGGAATGAAGTATAGATGGCATGCACGAGGCTCATAGTTCCATCCTGAAAGCAACTTGAGGCTTCATGGCCTTAAGGGGCTTTAGGGTTTAGTGTGTAAGGTTTAAGGGCGCTTGTGAGTGAACTGCTTCCTGCAACACGCGTGGAAGCTGTCATTGTGCTACTGCGCTGCCGCAAAATGCGTGCAGCACAGGGTCTCGCCGACGGAAAAGATGACACGAGACGGAACAGCCCAACCGTCCTCTAATGCCAAAGCCAGCCAATTCTCGATTCGTTCCGGGTCGATGCCCCAAAGCCTACAGTAGGCCCCAACAGCCTAAACCCTAAACCCCAAGACCGTGAACCCCAAAACCCTGAAACCCCAAAAGCCCTCAACCGCAAGACTATGCAAGGCCCTCGAGCCCGAGAGCCAGCGCGTTCTTTGTGTCTCGCATTTGGTGCTTGAGCTCTGTTTGTGCTGAAGCTTAAGGGAGGTGAGTAGACCTGATCAAAAGCGTCCAAAACAGAAATCAATCAATACATATAAATATTATAAATATAAATATAAACAAATACATAAATAAATACTATATGTATATATATATACATATATATATATACATATATATATATACATCACATATATGTATATACATGTATATATATATGGTTTTTTAGAAAAGCCTGATATACCTACTCTTAACCCTAGACAAGCCCCTAACCCAACAAGCCCTGTATGAATCCTGACCGCGGGAAGTCATCGGAATCTGTTGTTCGCGTCCATGCGAAGTGCTCCATCTTCGGGCGGCAGATGGCTGGCATCCACTTGGAGGTTCGGGGTACTTGGAACCCAATTATCAGAGTAGTTATACCCCACTTACAAGCCCTTAATCGCCCTCATGGGGGTACAATTGGGTTATAAGTACAGCTATACTGGGTTTTGGAGTACTATACTTTAATACTTCTTTTGGTTCTGGGTTCCTATTATAGCTACTTCTACCTGAAAAGCATATACGTTTTTTCCGGGTCTACTCCAAAGTAGGGGCTATAATTGGGTTTCTAAGTACCATGAACCTCCAAGCAGGAGGATCATCCGGACTTGCTTGCCGAGAGGGTCATTGCTGCGGTCCTGACTCTGGAGCAGCTGCGTCCTACACCCTAAACCCGAAACCCGAAACCCTAAACCCTAAACCCCAAACCCTATAAACCCTATAAACCCTATAAACCCTATAAACCCTATAAACCCTATAAACCCTATAAACCCTATAAACCCTATAAACCCTATAAACCCTAAACCCCAAACCCTATAAACCCTAAACACCCCAAACCCCCAAACCCTAGACCGCCCCCATTCTAGCTAGGTAGGGCGCACTGCGCCTACGACAAGAACTGCACAACCAGGACACCAAACCCCATACGCCCTGAGAAGCTCATCCCTGTGAACCCGATATCTATACATGACACACTCACACACGCAGGGTTTCGGGTTTAGGGTTTAGGGTTTCTTGGGGTTCAGGGTTCAGGGTTCTTGGGTTACATATCAATATAAATACTTACTTCTCCAACAGCTGAACTTTAAACTTTTTGGGTTTCCTTATTTAGTAGGAATAATAAAGTTTAACCTTTTTTCCCTTGGTTGTAGGAAAAGTAAGAATACAAAATATGAAAATATCTATATACGTATGTATATATGAATAAAAATAAGTAATAAACAAATACTTTTGAATATTGGGTTAGAAGCTAGAATTTTATGCTCCTTTGGGGGCCTCTGTTCTGGCATCGTCTAGAGCCACCGAAAAGGGGCCTGCAGATTGCTATTCCAGCTCCCGGACCATCCGAGGCAGCCTTCTTCGACACCAGAGCAAGTGCGAGAGGCATGCGAGCTCTGCCAGCATTTTTTGCAGAAGTACCGTGGCTTCTGCAGGTTTCGAGCTGTGGGCTCAAGATTTTGGGGTTCGGGGCTTCTTTGGCGGCTTAGGGAGTTTAGGGTTCGGGGGGCATCTTTGTCCAGCATGAGGCAGGGGCCCTCAGGCGTTGAGGTTTCTTGCGCTCTGCGCTGCGCAAAGGCAGCCCTCTGCTGAGCTGGCCCGGAAGCTGGTGGGCGCAGAGGCCCCAGCAGTTCAACGGTTGGGCTTCCAGCTTGCTTCAGCCTGGATTCAGTCACAGCTTGCTCAGACAAAGAGGCCAGCTGGACCAGAGTGGACATCGGCCAAGGCATGGCTGTTGGAGTTACTTAGTAGCTGAGTGAGTACACTTTACACTTCGTGGGATACTCTACTCCCCTATAGAACTGAAAGTGTACACTTTTTTGGGCTGATGAACTCAGCAACTAAGGTTATCACGCTCAGAGCAGTGGAGTCTTCCCAGCACCCCTGGATATGTTCGACGGAAATGTGCTGAGGTCATCGCTTGCATTGCTCGGTTGGACTGGCCGAGTGCCTGGCCAGAGCTTACTCCCGCGCTGCTCACGTCGCGCTCTGTGGGCCCCACTCTTGTGAGCCTGGGTGTGTGGGCACAGCTCGCCGAGTCGGTGGTGGAGGACACTAAAGACATGGCCCTGCAGCGCCGGCACGAAGTTGCCGCGGCCATGACGGATCTCTTCGAGAAGCCTCCAGGAGCCCCGGCTTTGGTGGAGTCCATCCAGTCTGCACTGCAGCGCTTTGGGGGCGAGAGTCAGGTGGTGCAGGAAGTTCTCACGCTTTGCCGCGCCTTGCCCTGCGCGGTTCCCGTGAAGTTTCTGCTTCGCCACAGCTTCGACAAGATCGTTCAGATCGGCTTCCAGTCTACTGAAAGCCGAGACTATATCCCCCTTGGGAATTATTTTTATTTTTTGTTTATATAAACCCAAGAGGATGCTAAGATTTTCGTTTAAAGGTTCTAAGGGGAGTATAGGAGAGCTTGCAGTCACTGTGCTGGCATCCTGGGCAGAACAGCTGGGAACGCAGAAGCCCTCGGGCAAGGGCTCCGGAGGCAAAGGTGAATCCACGGCGCCTGCCACCCACGACACTTGCCGTCTGGCGGCAATGATTGCACGACTCGTGGAAGAGTGCCTATATCCCCCCCTTGAGAATTATGGTTTCTTTTTTTGTCTATACAAGACCGAAGAGGATATTAAAAACACTATTCTTATTAAGGTTCTCATCAGGGAGTATAGGTGCAAGTTCGACGTCGAGAGGCCCCAGAGCTATGGTTACCATCAGCAGGTCGGCCGAGTACTCTCTGACCTGTGCAGCTTCAACGCAGCCGGCTTCGGTGAAGTCCTGCCTCCTGCTGAGATCCTTGGGGGGCCACATGAACCCCTAAAAAAGGGCCTTATGGCTCGTATACCTTAGCAGGGAGTATGGAAATAAGGGTATACGACCCCCAAATTTTGGAGTTCATTTGGTTCCCAAGGATGGGCACACTTTGGAAGGCGCTTCTCTTCCTCCTCCGCTACCCTTCTGCATCTCTGCAGATCGATTCCTTGACAAGCATCCAGGTAGGCCCTTGGGATGTGTTCAATATGTTCCCTTATGGTGTTCAAGAGCATCATATTCAGGAATACTAAACCATAAGCCCCAAACCCCAAACCCCAAACCCCAAACCCCAAACCCCAAACCCCAAACCCTAAACCCTAAACCCTAAACTTTCCGAGAGCTTTAAGGGCCATCCCAGGCATGATCGCCTTGGCCCGGCACGCGCCCACATCCGGCGCCGCCTCCCGGCCCCCACTGGAAGCGCTGGTCGGCCTCTTGCACGTGGCCGTCCTGAAGCCTGTGCTGTTTCTTAGGGTTTAGGGTTTAGGGTTTAGGGTTTAGGGTTTAGGGTTTAGGGGATGGAGAGTTCGGGAACCACGGGTGCGCTAAGTTCACTTCCCTAAGATGCTCCGAACCCTTAACATCTCCACCACGGAATCCTAAATAATCTGCCCCTGTAAGGGAAGCCTTATAGGCTCCTAACCCCTTCAGGGTTTAGGGTTTAGGGTTTAGGGTTTAGGATTTAGGGTTTAGGGTTTAGGGTTTAGGGTTTAGGGTTTAGGGTTTAGGGTTTAGGGTTTAGGGTTTAGGGCTCCGGTCTCAGGGCTTAGCGTTTAGGCCCTCCAGACTCCTACCCAACTACCAAGAGCCCGCAAGGAAGACGGACCTGGTCGCTGAGAGCTCCAGGGATCATTCGGAGCGAAGCGCTTGGCTGCTTCGATGCCTGGGCCCTGCTTCGAGCCTCAGGACTGCTTGTGTTCGAGGGGTTTATAGGGCTTATGGGGTTTAGGGTGAATTAGGGTTTTAGGGTTTAGGGCTCACGGTTTACAGGGTTTAGGGTTATCGTGTTTCGGAGGCCGCGCAAGCTCGCCTCCAGCAAGTTGTTGGAGGAGCGCGAAGACGAAAGGGGCTCACCCCCGCACCACACAAAACCCAGAACGGCGCGGCGCGGGCACCCCTAAACCCTAAACCCTAAACCCTAAACCCTACATCCTAAACCCTACATCCTAAACCCTAAACCCTAAACCCTAAACCCTAAACCCTAAACCCTAAACCCTAAACCCTAAACCCTAAACCCTAAACCCTAAACCCTAAACCCTCCTCCCCTCCCTCCCCCTTCCCCTGCATGCCCTCCGCTGCGGTGCGAATGCGGAGTGCGGATGCGGTCCGGTAGCCTAGCAGTTCATGTGTATGGCCATTTCAGGAGCTTAGGGTTTGTACCCTAAACCCTAAACCCTAAACCAACCCTAAACCCTAAACCCTAAACTTTAGTAGTTAGTGTGTATGGCATTATCAGGAGCCCCACGTCCATAGCGGAGTGGTTCGAGTGGATGGCCGTGTCTGCCAGTTTCGATGAAGTGGAGACGACCTCGCCACCCGGCTAGGCTTGCGGGCTCAGCGTGCTCATAACCCCCCTCAGTATTGCAACTGTACTTATGTTTAGGGTTTAGGGTTCAGGGTTTAGGGTTTAGGGTTTAGGGGTTAGGGGTTTAGGGTTTAGGGTTTAGGGTTTAGGGTTTAACACCCCAAGTATTTGCAGCTGTACTTAGAAGCCCCTAAGTCCTCTGAGTAGGCTATAAGTAGACTTATACTTGGGGCTATAAGTACCCGTGAAGCTCCAAGTAGAGATGAGAGCCAAGGTGGGAGAAGGTTTCGGTTTTTTTGTCGGTCTCATCCCTGAGCTCTGATTCCTCAAGCTCCAAGCCCAAGCGTCTTCATCTCTACAGGGGCTCTAAAGGGAGACTTCGAGTTGTGGGAAAGCATCCTGCCTTTCCAAGGGGCTAAGGTTCTCTAGGACTCTTTGTACATCCCCTGAGCCCCCCCTTAAACGCTCCAAGAAGCAACCCAGAGACCCACAACAGAAACCTAAATCCCCCCCCCCCCAAGCCCAGTTCTGGAGAAGCAGTCAAGGCTCACAAGGCACGGTCTAGACTCTGGGGGGTTGTGCCGAATTGCAATGGTTTTTGTGGGTCTTTGTCTTTCGATTACGGAATGGGGGTGAGGTGAGCTTTGGTTTGAAAAGGGGTGTGTTGTAACCACTGCTTATACGGGTGGGGCTTATTCGGAACTTTTGAGCGATAAGGAGGAAGCAGCGTTGGCACCGTGGTTCCCAAAGAGCCCAATACCCGAATGCACGTGAAGTCATATGAAGGGCCCCTATCTAATTTAAGGCATATTCTTGAATTCAGGGGTATTGGGCTCTCTACCCTAATCCCAAAACCCCAAACCCCAAACCCCAAACACCAAACCCTAAACCCTAAACCCTAAACCCTAAACCCTAAACCCTAAACCCTAAACCCTAAACCTTTGGGCTCTCTAGGTTCCTTAGCCTGCTGCATGACAGAGTTGGGGTGGTGGCTGGGACTCTGGGAGGGTTTAGGGTTTGGGGTTTAGGGCTTACGGTTTAGAGTTTAGGGTTTTAGGGTTTAGGGTTTAGGGTTTAGGGTTTAGGGTTTAGGGTTTAGGGTTTAGGAACCCAAGCCCGAAACTCGCAGACCTCGAGCCCTAAAACCCGAAGTCCAATGCCAAGAGGTTGGTGCTACCAGGGTTTTCTTCGTAAGCAAAGCGGCCAACAGTAGATATGAACATGTGTGCTTCGCTGGAGAATTCGGTGACTTGAGTGCCCGGGGTAGCATGCAGCCCATCCGTCCCTCCTTCAAACTGGGCTGCCAGTGTGAGCGAGTTCTGGGAAAGCATCCAGCATTACAAACCCGAAGTTCCCGAAATCTCCTACCACCCCTACAGCCCAAACACCCGAAGTCCCTGAAACCCTGGAAAATGCCTTCAACCTCTGCAAGCACCCCCAAAAAACCACTGAGCACGGCAAGAAGCTGTAGAAACCCTTGAAACCCTAAACCCTAAACCCGAAGCCCTAAACCCTAAGCTCGAAAGGCTCCCAAGTTTCCCCCCCCAACTGGCGCTGGATATAGAAAGTACACTCATAGGTACCCTAAAAGGGGCCCTGGTTGGAGTTATCCTACTTAGAACTCTATTTAGATAAGATAAGTACTTACTAAGTCCTCCGACCCTCCCGGCAGTCCTCAATAGCTAATAGGGGGACTATACTCCCTATTCAGGACTGTTACTATAGGGGGAACATCCCAACATTGTGACATCTTAAGGGGGGTACTAACAGTCCTTTAGTAGGGATTGGAGTAGCCCCCATTAAGGGCTGTTAGTATAAGGGGGAACATCTCAAGAAACCCTAAACCCTAAACCCTACACCTTAAGCCCCTAAACCCAACACCCTAAACCCTAAACCCTAAACCCTTAACCCTTAACCCTAAACCCTAAGCCGCAGTCCCTTTGTTTGGTGAAGGTCGGCATGGTCCGCACACTCGGCCGCGAGCTCCTGGGGGAGATCTGCCGGCCTGGCACTGCCGGCGAAGGGGAAGGTAGGACCCCAAACCCTGTAAACCTTAAACCCTATAAACCCTATAAATCCTATGAACCCTATAAACCCTATAAACCCTATAAATCCTATGAACCCTATAAACCCTAAACCCTAAACCTTAAACCCTAAACCCTACTGCACCCCCCAAGTACCCCTTAAGAAGAGCCTAAGTGTACCTTACTTAGGACCTCCTACAGAGTACAATGCTTCAGAGAGGTTGTCTAGAGTTGATTGTTATGCTCAGAGCGATGGCCCTCCTGAATGAAGAGCCTCCGGCTCAAGCCGCCGACCCCGGCAGGTGGGGGCGGGTGGCGGGGGTGGGTTCGGGGGGGGTGGGGGTGGCCAAATTTGAGACTTTCCGCCCTAGCGTGGTCAGCCAGGTCCCATGGTCATGTTGTGGGTTCCTCCACCACGGAAAAAGTTGCCGGGGCACCCCACCCTAACCCCTGCGCATTGGGGAAACAGCGCCGCGAGGGTCGGCGGATCTGTCCTCAAATGCCGAGCCCAAAACATGAAGACCCCAAACCCCAAACGCCCAAAGCAAAACAAAGAAACAGAGGCCTACAACCCTCTGGTGGTGAAGGTTTATGCAATTTTCAGCGCAGCGCTCCGCGATTCTGAGCGTTTCGACCTTATCTCGGGCCTCTACACACGGATTCAATGGCTTAAACAACTAATAACCGAACGAACTGAATTGTTTTACCTCGAACATCCCCACCCTCTCTTGGTAGAGATACTCTGGGGTTGGGCACTCCAGGGAGACTCTGGGGCTGGGCAGGGTTGGGCAGTCCAGGGACACCCCTAGAGTTGGGCGCTCCAGGGACACTTTGGGGTTGGGCACTCCAGGGATGAGCGAGGAGTAGACCGGCCGAGGAGAAGAGTTGAGTTTAAATCTAACAACCCCACACCGAGGGTGGGGAACAGCTAAAGAACCTCAGAACCAGGTATTCCGTGATAATGGCATGTGGTTTTCGAGTTCGCTGTGAGATCCCGATGCCGGATTTTGTTGAAGAGAAGCCAGGTGGCTTCAGGATGTTCGGCGCATGTTGCGGATGAAATCTAGGATCCAGTGCTTTGCTGCAGGTTCTAGGGCTCCCCACCCATGAAACCCTCAAGCTCGTGGCTAGTTCTCCAAGTTCGGGTCCCCATTCCTGGGTCCCCTACATCGTACGGCACCCAAGAAGGACCCCAAAAGGGATCCTGATTTCGAGAGCTACCCACATCATGACCGGCTCTAGGCTTCGCGGCGCTTTGCCGCTTTGCCGGATCGCTGGTCGCAAGGGCTTTGGCTGGCGACGCGACTGCCAGTTGGGCAGAAGCGTCCTGGATCGTGTTGAGGGTTTAGGGCTTAGGGATGTTTAGGGTTTAGGGTTTAGTGTTTAATCATGTTTAGGGTTTACGGTTTAGTGTGGGTGTGAGACGCTGAAGTGTAAGGTCTGAGCTCAGCTGTTGCTGGTTTGCATCTTCACCTTCATCTGCGTTTGGAATTTACATTAGCATGTACTAGCTCCTATTCTGATCCATAGTCAGCCCGCTATCTCGAAGCTCCTACCCGCCAAGTCTATGATTCTGATGGTTGCACAGAAGCCTTACCCAAAGGCTCCAATGTAGTTCCTTTTTGGGGTAGTATACTAGAATCCCCTATAACTACCGCAAAAAGGAACTAAAAAGGAGCCAAACCCTAAACCCTAAACCCTAAACCCTAAACCCTAAACCCTAAACCCTAAACCCTAACCCTAAACCAAGGAATACGACAGTGCCCTAGTTCTGGTGGAAGCCACAAGCCTCGAGGCGCTGAAGTTTGCCCAGAAGAACTCCCTGGATCCTTGGTAGCCCAGTGGGTACCCTTTACCCCTTTTTTTAGTTGGGTTCTGGGTTTAGGGTTTAGGGCTTAGGGCTTAGGGTTTAGGGTTTAGGGTTTAGGGTTTAGGGTTTAGGGTTTAGGGTTTAGGGTTTAGGGTTTAGGGTTTAGGGTTTAGGGTTTAGGGTTTAGGGTTTAGGGTTTAGGGTTCCCTTATAAGGCAGCCACCACAAAAAAAGGGTGCCCTGATTATTAAGATATGGTCACTGGGCTGCTAAGGATCTGGAAGGTGTCTCCAAGCCCCTGCTGCACTTTCTGCAGCAGGTCTGCGTGGAAGGGGCCACCTTCCACCCTGCCATTGAGCATCGAAGGCTCGAGTTTCTCTCCACCTGCAGCCCCTTCTTCAAGCTCTGGGCCGAGGATGTGCTGCGAGATGCGCTGGCGCGAACCCTGGCGCCCATCCGGACACCCCACCCTGAGGCTCAGAAGGCCCACCAGCGCGGCATCAAGCTCGAGCAGAGGCTTTGCTCAAATTGTAGACATCGTGGCTCCTTTGCCCAGCTTTCTCTGCAGCCTCTGCTGTCACCTGAATTCCAAGGAACCCAGAGCCCTTAACCCCTCAGTGGAGTCTTTCAGGAAAGAAGCTCCAAGCTGGGAGCTTTCAAGAATGCGGGCTCCCCTCTCAACTGTGGGACCACCTCCCGGTCCCAACTATCGGGGAGGAATGGTGGTCTCCCTGCGAATTCTGCTGTCAATTTTTAAACAGGTACCCTAAGCCCCAAACCCTAAACCTTAAACCCCAAACCCCAAACCCTAAACCCTAGACCCTAAACCCTAGACCCTCACCCTAAACCCTAAACCCTAAACCCTAAACCCTCAACCTTGGCATGCAGAGAAAGGAGGGCCTTGGGCACCTTCGTGGCCATCTGCAAGTCGGGCGCCCTGGGTGCCAACCAGCTCGAGGCCTGTTTGGGGGGGCCTCTCTGACTGCAAGCGGAGCCCCTAGGGGTTTAGGGTTTAGGGTTTAGGGTTTAGGGTTTAGGGTTTAGGGTTTAGGGTTTAGGGTTTAGGGTTTGCTGACTGAAGCGACGCGCCTCGACCCAAGGGGTCGTGGGCGGCGCGTCGCGCGAAAGCTAAAAACCCCCCACCCAAACCTTACTCTATTAGGGTTTAGGGTTTATTTTTTGGGATAGTTCGCTCGTTGCTTTGTATTCTCTCCTGTAATTGATATTTTTTAATAATATACAGCAATTTGAATATAAATCAAAAGGACAAGTAAAGCAGAGGGCAGCAGTATGTTTATATGTTGTGTCTTGACGCCCGAACAGGCCAGAACAGGCCAGGACGCGGGTCCCAAAATCGCGCTCGGGGCCGCGGCGCCATCGCTCGCTGTCGCTGCGCTCTGTGGCGCCGCTGTGTACAAGAACGTTTAGAGGCACCAAAAAAAGCCTTGAAAAGGCTTGAAAAAGCTTCAAAAAACCCTCAACAAGAGGGGCCCCAGGATCTGCCCTGGCCCACAATGAAAGTGCGATTTTTTAGTACTGAAATCGATGGTTTTGGGCACCCCGGGCCTCCGGGAATGTTAAATTACGAGGCCGGGCCTCCACAGGCCAAAACAGGCCAAGAAAAACAGTGGAGGCCCCTTGCAAAGGCCCTACGAGTCCCCTGACAAGGCCCCTGGCAAGGCCCCTGGCAAGGCCCCCGGCCCCTGGCAAGGCCCCTTGGCAAGGCTTTCTGGCAAGGGCCGGCAAGGCTCCTGGCAAAGGCCCCTGGCCAGTCCCCTGGCGGCCCCTGGCGCCAGGTTCCGCTTGCCCCCCCCCGCATCGCCTCCCCACTCTCATCACTCCCCTGCCTCAGGCCCCCCTTTCCGCCGCCCCCACCCTCTCCCACTCCACTCCCTAACCCTCCCACCAACCCTCCCCACCCTCATCATTACCCCCTCCCACCATCGTGCACCATCCGACCGCCCCCCCGCGCTCTCATCGCTTCTTCATCTCTATGCCCCCCAGTCCACCCCTGCCTTCCGCCCCCAACTCCCCAATCCGACACCAACCCTTTACCGTCACCCCCCACAGCCCTTGGCAAGGCCCCTGGCAAGGCGCCTGGCAAGGCCCTGACAAGGCAAGGTCCCTGGCAAGGCCCCTGGCAGGCAAGGCGCCTGGCAAGGCCCCTGACAAGGCCCCTGGCAAGGCCCCTGGCAAGGCCCCTCACAAGGCCCCTGGCAAGGCCCCTGGCAAGGCCCCTGGAACACGAAAAATCCTAAATCCTAACCTAAATCCTAAACCCTAAACCCTAAACCCTAAATCCTAAATCCTAAATCCTAAATCCTAAATCCTAAATCCTAAATCCTAAATCCTAAATCCTAAATCCTAAATCCTAAATCCTAAATCCTAAATCCTAAATCCTAAATCCTAAATCCTAATTTTTAAAGGGGAAGGACGGGGGTCTAGGCTTTAGGGTAGTACAATATGCTTTAGGGCTGTACGCCCTGTTCCCTCTTTCAAAGCTGTGAGGAGTGCGTTACGGTGCCAGAAGCTAACTCTTCTGGCACTAAAGAGAGCATCTGCCTCCAACTGCTAGACTGTCGCTACTCAGTTGTCGGCTGCCGTCGCTAGAGGCTCGGCGGGCTCGCTGCGGCCCGCTGCCTTGCCGGCAGCTAATCAGGGGCCTTGCTCGCAGTTTAGGGTTTAGGGTTTAGGGTGGCCTGGTAAGAACTTAATCTCGCGGGTTGTGGTGATGCAAAGTAGCTGCTGTATTGGAAGCCGCCCCATTTAAGGCCCAAGTATGTCATAACCCTAAACCCTAAAACCCTAAAACCCCAAACCGCAGGGCCCCTGGGTTGATATGAGTTCCCCTTCATTCGACCCAAAGCTGACAGAGACAAGCTCAGAGGGTCCGTGATTTCGATGCAACCCTTGGTTTTGGGGGGGGCGTTTCACGATAGGCCCGAGGATGGTCCCAAAGGAGCTGAAGTACTATTCTTTGTCCGATTAGTATGGTGATGATGATTCTGATGACTATTTTTGTTGTTATTGAATATCGTTATGATGTTGTAGTGTTACTCATAGTACTGTTCTTACTGTTTGTTACGACCATTGCAGTATGTTGGGGTTTAGGATGGCGTGGCCCTTTTGTGAGGGCGCAGCCGCGCCAGCTTGGGTGGTGTGCGTTGGCGTCGTCTCTCTGGTCGCCCAGAGGGCCGAATGTGGTTTAGGGTTTAGGGTTTAGGTTTAGGGTTTATGGTTTAGGGTTTATGGCTTAGGGGTTCATAACCTTGGCCCTGAGACTGAAATCTGAACCAACCGAACAACTTTCACATCGTCAGCAAAAAACCTGAACCCCAAACCCCGTAAAAGAAGAACCCTTATCCCGGCAATCCTCCTAAACCTCAAAACCTCGAAACCACTCCTATACCGCACAACCCCGAACTAAGCCCTAAGCCCTAAACCCTAAACCCTAAACCCTAAACTCTAAACCCTAAACCCTAAACCCTAAACCCTAAACCCTAAACCCTGAGCTTTCTGAAGTCGCAGGCGCTGAACCAGGAGTGCACGCAGCTGGCGGGCAGCGTCTCCTCCGCGCACGCGCGGGGCCAGCTAGTGGAGGCCCTGGCGCTGGCGTGTGCATCCTGCCCGGATCTGGAGTCTTGGCTTTTAGGGTTTAGGGTTTGGGGTTTAGGGTTTAGGGTTTAGGGTTTTAGGGTTTTAGGGTTTTAGGGTTTTAGGGTTTTAGGGTTTTAGGGTTTTAGAGTTTTAGGGTTTTAGGGTTTTAGGGTTTTAGGGTTTTAGCGTTTTAGGGTTTTAGCGTTTAGGGTTTAGGGGTTTGCCCCTTAATCTAAGGGAGTACAGCTCAAATCATATTCAATGCAAGATTCCTATTTGAATTCAGGTTAATTCCTTCATTAAGGGGTATTGGGCTCTTTGGGCAAGTAACAGCCGCCTGTCCCCAATCTTACACTCAACGACTCTGGCTCATTCGACCATTCGACCATGCAAGTCTCAAGCCCTTGCTTCCCAAACAACCAGCTGTGTTTGGAGAGCGCCCTCTACAAACACACTAAACCCGAAACCCCCAACCCTCCACCCTAAACCCCAAACCCCAAACCCTACCCCGAGGAAAAGCAGCGGCAAGCGCAGCTATTCAACGGAGTCCTTGAGCAACTTGGCAGCACAGTGGTACCCTTTTTTTCTTTTGTTTGTTCAAGGTTCCTTTATAAAGTAACTATCCCTAAAGTAACTATCCCTAAACCCTAAACCCTAAACCCAAAAATCACAAGATGGTTAGTGGGCTACCAAGGCAAGGGACGGCCGCCTGGTTGGGCTCGGAGATTGCGTCCATCGATGCGCAAGGCTTCTCACTTGGGGTTTAGGGTTCAGGGTTGTAGGGTTAGGGGTTTAGGGTTCAGGGCTTAGTGTTTAGGGCTTAGGTTTAGGCTTTAGGGGGGGGGGGGGGGGGGTTCTTGTGGCTGTTTTTTCTCTTTCTTTTTTTGGACGGGGTGGAGGGAGGGTGGGGTCTTTGGAGTTATTTGAGGCTGTTCAGGAAAGCAGGCCGTGGCACACTTAAGCAGCCATGACAAGTCGGAAAAATGAACGTCGCAGTGAGGTTTGCTGAGCATGCTCTTGACCGCTGCCCGCGAGTCCCCACCAATGGCAGATTTCAAGCTGGAAGAGCCCAATCTGGCCAAGCTGAGGGACGCAAGGACATTGCTTTCGAGCTTCTGCGGCGTCGTTTCCCGCACTGCTCCGAAAGTCTTGGAACCCAGCCTGCCCGATCCAGTGGTGAAAGACTGGGCACCCGGCATTTTCCGACTGCTGCAAACCATGGCCAACTTGTACGTCGAGGCAGCTGCCGGCGATGAGCTGGCGCGGCTTCTGGTGTTCTTCCCGGCGAAGCCGGAGTTAGAGGGCATGTTACTTTGTCATGGTAACAGTTTGCATTTTTAAGGGTGCTTAAAAGGCATGTTACTTTGTCATAGTGGCGTAACATTTTTGCATGTTTAAGGGTACTTAAAGCCAACAAGGCGTAGACATTGACATTTTCGTATGATCCCAACCATGGATCCAGGTTAGGCCGGTATCTGGGCTCGGACGAGGAGAAGGAGATCATGGAGAAGTTCTCCGGCGGTCTCAACCCTCGCTGGGTCCAGGCCCTAAACCCTAAACCCTAAACCCTAAACCCTAAACCCTAAACCCTCCAGGCCATCCGGGGCCTGGTGCATGAGCTCCGGGGTCATGCGGCCAAAGCGGGCCGTGCATCTAAGCAGGGTCTTATGATATTGAGGCCCTTGGGATATGTTGTATTGTCCCTCAATTTTTGGGTTTAAGAGGATTCTATTTTGGAATTCTTTCCCTTACTGGGTGTAAGAGGATCATATTGTAGGAATATGTTCCCTTAATTGGTTTAATTAAGAGGATCACATGTAGGAATACGTTCCCTTAATTTGGGTTTAAGAGGATCATCTGTAGGAATATTTTTCAGAGGGTTTTAGGGCCATCCTAGGCATGCATGGCGTGCCACGGATTCTGGGAGCTGGGTGAGTCCGTGGTCTGGTTGAAACTTCGTCATAGTTGGGTACCATTTTACATTTTTAAGGGTACTTAAACCCTATACGAAATAGACATTTTACATGTTTAAGGGTACTTAATATAAACCCTATAAGGAATAGACGTTTATATTTTTAATATTATCCAAACCATGAAGCAGGAAAGATGTGGCGCACAGCATCACTGGGGTGCGGCCCCATGCCGCCGAGCTCTACTTGCGGGAGCTCTTTACGCCCTTGGTCACTAGGTTTTGGGGTCTTGGTGTGTTTTTTTATATAATTATACTTTTCCCTTTTTGGGTTTAAGAGGAATCCATATGTAGGGATAGGTTTTTCATATGTTCCCTTATTGGGTTTAAGAGGACCCATATTTAAGGAGATTGTTCAGAGGGTTTCAGGGGGGGCCATCCTAGGTGAAAAATTCTGCGCTCATGCAAGATGTGCGGCTTGGGGACTTCAGCAACTTGCTAGCTGAAGGAGTAGACTTTTTTTTTTTTTTTGGGGGGGGGGGGTAAGGGGGGTGGGCTAAACCCTAAACCCTAAACCCGTAAACCCGCTCATGGACTCGGCCACTAAGGCAAGGCCTTTCTGCCTGCCCTGATCAAAGGCATCTCCACACAGCTGCAAGAGGCCTGGGCTGTGAAACCCACCGAAGCTTTGGTGCTCTTGGGAATTGCCATCCAAGATTTTAGTTTTTATGGGCTTTGGGGTTTAGGGTTTAGGGGTCTATTGGGTGCTCTTGAGAATTGCCTTCTAAGATTTTAGGCTTTGTAGGCTTTAGGGTCTAGGGATGTTTAGGGTTTCGAGGCTTGCGGTCTAGGGTTTAGGGTTACGTTCAATTTTAGGGTTTAGGGTTACGTTCAATTGAGGCTGTTTCAGTTGAAGTTGCCGGGAACCACCAAGGAAGAGTCAGCGGTGGTAAAGATGAGTGTGGCCGGCGTATATCCATGGCTCGACCCCGCCCACGCAGCCTCGGTCGTGTCCTTCTCCCGCGCGGCAGTTCCCCGACTGTTCAGCGCAGACTAGGAGCTCGATAAACCTCTAAACCCTAAACCCTAAACCCTAAACCCTAAACCCTAAACCCTAAACCCTAAACCTCGGCACGAGATGGCCATGAGATATTCGCCCCCTCTACCTCCCAGCAGGCTCCTCCATGCATCTAAAATCTGGACCCCTACAACCCCAAACCCCGACTACACCCGGTTCAACCTCTAAATCCCCTTCACAAAAGAACAACACCCAGGTTCACCTGCTGGCGGCACTGGCCGGCGCCGAACTGCCCCAGGCGGATCGGAGAGTCAGGTTTGAGGAGTCGGGTGTTGTTGCCTCTTGGAGGCTATGGTATAGGGCGATTCAGGGATGCAGCAGACAGGGTTTAGGGCTTAGGGTTGGGTTTAGGGTTTAGGGTTTAGGTTTAGGGTTTAGGGTTTAGGGTTTAGGGTTTAGGGTTTAGGGTTTAGGGTTTAGGGTTTAGGGTTTAGGGTGTAGGGTGTAGGGTGTAGGGTGTAGGGTTTAGGGTTTTGGGTTTTGGGTTTTGGGTTTTAGGGTTCAGGGTTCAGGGTTTAGGGTTTAGGGTTTTGGGTTTTGGGTTTCGGGTTTAATTAGGGTTTGGGGTTTAATTAGGGTTTAGGGTTTAGGGTTTAGGGTTTAGGGTTTAGTGTACTGAAAAAGCCCAGGGCCTGGGCCCTGAATGTTGAGTGCTGGCTTCAGGACCGTCCGCAAGACCGTACGCAACACCCTAAACCCTAAACCCTAAACCCTAAGCCCTAAGCCCTAAACCCTCCGAATCCGAATCCCTGGACTCCGTTCGGACGCAGGCAACTCAGCTGGAGGATCCGGAGGCGAACCTCTTTCAGGCGAAGCGATCGGTGCCTCAGTCGACTGCAAACCGCAAGAGGAGGCATCTCGTCAGAGTTAGGGTGTGCGTGTTTCAGGGTTTAGGGTTTATAGGGCTTAGGGTTGAATTCTAGGATGTTTGGGATTTTGCATACAAAAGCCAGAGCGTACTACTACTCTGGAGAAACGCTTCGGAATCTTTTCCGACGAGCCATATCCAGGGAATATAGCTGCAACTAGCTTTGAGGTGTACGGCCCCTTGAATCAAAGACTAAACCTCACACAAAAAACGGGGGCCTAGTAAACAGTTCAGGTATCTTGCATAGTTAAAGGGTTTAGGGTTTAGGGTTTAGGGTTGAGGGGGCATCATCCGGCTCCTTGGGTGAGGAAAGGCCGCAATGCGAACCGATTCGCAGCTCTCGACGGCGCAGAGGCCATGGAGGTGCAAACTGCCGAGAAAGCAGCCTGCCAGGATTGAAAGAATAGTCTTTAGGGTTTAGGGTTTAGGTTTTGGGTAAGCCCAAGACTATCATGTATAGCAGAGCTGTAGAGGCACTTCGTGGATACTGACTACTCGGGGGCTATACCTTAAACCCAACAATTATGACCCAGAGTAGGCCCTCATTCCCCTTTGTTTAGGGTTTAGGTTCCCTTAGAAACCCCTTTAAACCAAAAAGGGGACCCCTGTTCATTCCCAGCTTTGTCTTGGGCCTCGACAAAACCCCTCAGACCCCTACTCTCCCTCAAAGGCCCTTTGAAGCCCCAAACCCCTAAACCCTAGACTCTAAACCCTGAACCCTAAACCCAAACCCCTAAACCCTAAACCCTAGACTCTAAACCCTAAACCCTAGACTCTAAACCCTAAACCGTAAACCCTAAACCCTAAACCCTAAACCCTAAACCCTAAACCCTAAACCCTAAACCCTAAACCCTAAACCCTAAACCCTAAACCCTAAACCCTAACGCCACCCCACTCTCTTGTCTTTGGGGGTAGGCGGGCGCTGGTCGAGCGCTCAGTGAGACCCTGCGAGGAGCCCCAGGCGGGCGACCTTACCCTCGAGGCAGGCACAGGCCGAGTCAGCAGCCGTGGCAAAGATACCCTAACGGTCCTGCATTGGAGGCCCCCTGGGAGGGCCCCTGGAGACCCCTGCGTCCCTGACCCCGTCCGCTGGGCTGCAGGAGCAGGGGTCGTTTTGCCGCGGCAGGCAAGGCTCCGGCCTCCGGCCTCCTCTGAGCTGTCCACTCGCTTCGAGCGTCTCCGGCCCTGCCTCCCTGGCTTTAGCCCCTTCGCGCCAACCCAAGCTGTCTTCGCTGACCCTGCCTCGCCTTTCCGTCTGCGCATCGCAAATGCCCGGTACTGGTGTCTTCCTGCCTCTGGCCTTGTCCTGGCCCTGCTGCAGCTTTGTGCCTGGTCCACGCACCTTGTGGAGGTCCCCCAAAGGGCGTGAGTGCTGACTCATGTGATGCTTTGTGAAAAATGAAAGTCTTAACTCCTTGAGAGTCGTAAGTGTGCTGGGTAGGTCTGCAGACTACCGCGCCCTAAACCCTAGACCCGAAACCCTAAACCCTAAACCCTGCCTAAGCAAAGCCCAAGGCGGTGGCGAAGCCGCCAGGGCAGGGACCGACCGGTCTCGTCGCGAGCATCCTCAGGGACTCCCAGCTGCGCGGCTTGGTGGCATCGCCAGGGAGACCCAAGGAACAGGGTTTTTTAGGGTTTAGGGTTTAGGGTTCAGGGTTCAGGGTTTAGGGTTTAGGGTTCAGGGTTCAGGGTTCAGGGTTTAGGGTTTAGGGTTTAGGGTTACTTGAGGACTATATGCCTTATATCATACAGGGTTCCTAAGTATCCAGGTAGGCCCTTGAGATATTTCATAGTTTCCAGTTCTTGGGTCTAGGAGGAGCATATTTAGGAACATTTTTTCAGAAGGCTTCAAGGCCAGCCATCCTAGAAATTCTTCAAGCCTTAAACCCTAAATATTTCAGACCTTAAATCAAATTGAAGGATCGGGTCTAGGGCTTATAGAGTCTTAGGTCTTGCAAGGCTTAGATTATATTTAGATTCTGGGATCCCTATAGATAATGTGAGGTATATTCCTTAATTGAGGGGTTGCTGGGCTCTTTGGCTTCGGAATGGGGGGAGACACAAGAAAGGCAATATTGGTCAACCCCGTATGTTGCAGACGCATGCCCTGCCTACATCTCGATCTGCTCTCTGCTGAGTGGTGTAGGGCGTCAGGGGTTTAGAGGTCCAGGCCTTTGGGTTGATCTCAGCACCAAACCCTAAACCCTCAACCCTTGAGTCGTTGCAGCTGCAGGCGGTACCCTGCGTGCAGCCCTCGCAGAGTTCCTGCTGGTGCCGGAGCACTCCGGGCCAAGTTTCAATATATTTTGACTTCAGTATGTATTCCAGACTCGTTCTGCCCTCTACCAGCCCGGAATAATTTTAAAAGTCGCTGAGCCACGATCCCTTTTCGGAGGTATAGCTTGCAGAATCCATGTTGCTGACCCCCCAAATGAAGGGACGCCAATGTATGAAAAACTACCCCCCTAAACCCTATGAACCCTATCAACCCTGTAAACCCTTCAAACCCTTCATTCAAACCCTGTAAGCCTTATGAGCCCTATAACCCCTGTGAAGCCCTAAGCCATGCAGATTTTTTGGAGCTAAGGAAGGAGACCATCACGCGCGCGTTGGTTGGGATGGGGGCTTGGACCGCGCAGCTGTGGAACATGCCCGCCTGCTGCAGCTCGTGGGGGGGGGGGGGGGGGGGGGGGGGGGGGGGGGGTGTTGAGGGTTTAAGGTTTGGAGTCGGTTTGCTTAGGGTGAGTTTAGGCTGTCTAGGGTTTATGGTGTTTGCAGGTTTTTAAAGATTTTGGGCTTAGGGTTCTCCATCTGCACACGGAAGGGGTAGTTCTACTGGCGAGGGCCTTGTTCTTCAACCAGGGCAAACATACTCACTTGTCTCACGGCCCAGAAGTCTTCATGAACTTCGAACCCTCCCGGCTGCAAACTACCCAAAGCCGAGGTTCAGGGCGTTTTTGGGATCCGGGGGTTGGAGAGTGGGGGGTGGGGGGGGGTTGCGGTTCCCTGAACCCTGAACCCTAAACCCTCAACCCTAAACCCCTAAACCCGGCTTGCAGGCAGCTCTTTACAGCTTGCAGCCCCATGGGGTGGAGGTCTTAGGTCACTCGGAAATCTGTTTCGAAGATGTCGGGTCTGAGGGCTGCCCCTGAATGCCACTTCTACAAAATCCAGCCCTTGAAGCCCTGGAAAACCTAAGCACGAATCCGAGCACCTGTTTAATTAATACCTCCACATTTAAAGAATTTGTTTCGTCGAGAAGCCCGCCGGAAGACTGCTTTCCATTGCGGGGGTTTTCGTATGGGCCAATACCACCACATCTAAAGACTTTTTTCTGGGGGGGGGGTTGAAACTCCATCGGCTTTGGTGTTTTTCTTTGTGAGCTGCAGTTTGCTTCGGTGAAACTACACATCTTAAAAGTAAAAGCTTTAAAGAAGCTGAGGCCTTAGTTTTCTAGAAGCTGAGGCCCTTCAGAAAGCTAGGATTTCTTATGTGATTGCTTACTGGAGGAGAGAAGTTTTCATTCTTTCCTGAGCTACCCTTTATGGGCTGTGCCCGGCAAAGACAGCATCACATTTATAAAAAGAGATCACAATTTTGGGAGGCCCGGGGGGGGGGGGGGGCCTATTGTTTTCAATAACACATTCCTCTTGTTTTTAGTAGAGAATCAATACGTTGCCATGGTCTTATTATTGCGGCGCCTTGCCTTTCTTATTGCGCTGCGGGGGGGGGGGGGGGGCATTTAAACAGGTGCTCGGATTAAACCCCAAAACCCCTAAACCCCCAAACCCTAAACCCCTAAACCCCAAACCCCTAAACCCCAAAACCCCTAAACCCCTAAACCCCAAAACCCCTAAACCCTAAACCCTAAACCCTAGACCCTAAACCCTAAGCCCGCCCGACTAAGCTCCGAGGATCACGCGGGGAGAAGACTTGGCAGCCCTGTCCGCGGGAAGTTCCTGGCTGCTGAGGCAATTAAACAGAGTTACTAGTACCATACCCAGGGTTTAGGGTTCAGGGTTTAGGGTTTAGGGTTTAGGGCTATAGTTGGAGGTTCATGGTACTTATGGGCCCAATTATAACTGCACTTATCACCCAATTATAACCATGT